GCCCCCCGCCCCCCCGCCCCCCCATCTTACAAACCACAGGATTGCACGCGGCTTTGCGTCAGCCTCCGCGTGTCAATACAATCCCTACGCGTTTAACCATAAACTCATTTCTCAGCTAAACACACGTTGTTTTCATTTCACGGCAAAGCAATGCGTACAGTGCCGCAGTCCCCGTGCGAGCCCAACAGCTCGCACTGCTCCGCCTGGCTCCGCTAGGAAGCGCCTTGGGAGGCATCTTCCCTTCGGTGAGGGATGGGAGCCCCCTTCCCTCTGCTGTAACCCGATTCCTCTGCAGCACCTCATTTCTAGAGCACGATCAGCAGCTCTGACACGCCATGATCACTTGTTGAACAATAACAAATTCTCAACGTCCTCAAGGAAAAAAGTCCCAATCGTGCTGACGTTACGAACACAGCCTGGCAACCTCAACTGGACTGGCTGATTTCTCCTGCATTTTATTGCCTCAACATCTAGCTAATCTGTAGCAAAGTTTTTTTAAAGAATATTCATGAAAAGGATGTAAAGAAATCTAAACTATCACTGAAGAGGCATTCCCCATCTGTCTTTTTCATGTAAACAGCTTCATGTAGCTCACGTTGCTGAACCAGAACCGCTCAAAATGGACATCTCATCTATTGACAGTAAACAAGCTTTTACCCATCTGAATTCGACAACATGCACTTTATTATTCACACTTAGGAAAGCTGCCAGTTGTACTCCCTGTCCAGGAAGTCTGAATGTTTGCTTTTCTATCTCCATTTGCCAAATATAATTGGTTGCTATGTCAGTTTATTTTAAATCAGATCCCATTAAAAAGGGAGAAGTGGGGGAGGAGGGACGCTTTTAACTTCTCAGATTTTGGAACATTTTATCCTCTTAACTTGCAACACTGCCTGGAGAAGGAAACCATGCTTTCTAAGAGAAGAAAGTGACTGATGTTCTCTGTAACAGTTTACTTAGTTTAGCAGTCTCATTATCTAATCAGACTCATGCATGTTCCTTCCTAAACATAGTAAATTATCCCTTTTAAGACATATTACATTGATGGGGGAGTTGGAACTAGATGATCTTTGAGGTCCCTTCCAATCCAAACCATTCTATGATGCCATGACAGATAGTTATATTGTTAAATTTTGAATGGTTTCTGCATCCATGCACATAAAAATTTTTGCTCTTCTTGAGACACCCAGGTAAATTGGGTTAGTTATGGCAAATCTCTGCTACTTTCCCTTTGTTCTTGGGTCCTCTCCGGGCAGGACAAACACCGCTGTGGAAAGCTTTAAGTCACTTTTCATGTTCTTTAACTAACTGGAGAAAGGATCAAAAGTACTAAAATTCCTCCTCTGTCACTATAATCCTAGCTTCCCCTCTCTCTTCCCCTACAGCCTGTGTATCTTAGGACATCTGTACTCCATATTTAATTGTTTCAGAGAATCTAGAATATTCTAAAAAACAATTTTGATGCTTTGGCAGAAATTTCTCATGACTGAAATCAGCAAAAGGCCTATATGAAATACTCTCAACACAACAATCCTCGTTCAATATTTGGAGATGAAATTCTACTTATTTTGTAGTTCTTTTCTGTTAACATTAAAATCTCAAACAATTGATAACAGTCTATCAAATGAACAAAAGAGGTCATTTACATAAAGCTTTCTCCATGCCAGAATGAGTCTGCCAGTAGAAACATACCTTCTTACTGCTGGCAAAAAGGTGTCCTTTCGCTATATTGCATACAGCAACAAAAACACCTTACTTCACACATCCCAAGTTGCCATTCTCCACCAGCAGTAGCTTTTGTCCATGCTCTGAGTATTATCAAAACACAGTTTTGGAATGAACTCATATTTTCCAACCTGTGGTCTAAACCATGTGTTAGAAACCCAGTGCTACTTGCAACAAAAGATGAGATTTTGGAACACAATTCAGCAATGTGTGAATTCTCTCATGGCAAAAGATAGCCACTCTGTAGATGAAATTTAGATTATTGGGGGTTTTCCCCTCCTTAATAAAAATCTGCAACAAGCTCTAAGATGTTTCCACTGCAACCAGATTATCTTGCCTGTCACAGTAGTCATCCCTCTAAGAGGCTGTCCCTGCAGAGCCTTCAGCGCACTCTGCCGCGAGTTGTGCTTTGTAGATACAAGATATTATGCACAGAAAAATTATGTGCACGGGAACATAGGTTCACTTTCACACAACCCTTTGAAAACCTAAACCAGATAACTTCCTAGATTTTTTTTTATCATTTCTGTGATTCTCTGATCTGATGAGCTACAATGTCCTCTTCCATTCCTTTCTTCTCATTTATTACTTTTTGTCTGTCCTTCTTCTCCACTTATTTTCATCTCTCAAACACAAAGCCAGAGCAGCTGCCCACTCCACTACTTGTACGTGGTCACTATGACTGATGTACTTTGTTAATGTAATTCTTTTAATGGGATTGCTTCAGGTCCTGCTGTTGCTGAAGGATGTGTCATGTTGGCTTCCCAGTGTTTCTTGACCACTGACACACATGTCTATAGATGGTTCTGTATATGAACAGAAATTGACGTTCCACAAATGCAGGACCAATGACATTAATTTAACAATTGTTTTAATTTTTTGTTAATAAAGGCTACCTATTTGGAAATTACCTTTTTAACTTACACATTTGCTCATTGAAACTGCACTTACTTTTCCTCCACAATGTTTCAGTAGTATATGAGGCAGAAGTATACTATTCATACATATTATCACAACTTTTAAATTTCCCATATTTGCCTTAGTTCCAAACAAGCTTCATACACAGCTGATACACTGAGAAGCATTAAACTGCTTATACAGAGTTGTACTGCCAGCTGGAAAAAAACCACTTTTTTTTTTCTTCCAAATTAACATAAGCTCCTGGGTCATAATTTTTACCACAGCTATGACCTGACAGGGCTGGATTCTCACTCCTAAATAGCTTCCATGAGGTTTTAGATGCCAAAAAAATCCTCCAGTGGGCTATGGAAGAATTCCAGTGCTCCAGAGCTGCACAGGTTTGGAGTAACTGACCTCACATTTTCCCCATCTCCCAGTGACCTTGAAAGGGTCTTGCAAGATCAAAAGTGGAAGTAGTTGTGAGTCCAGCACGCTGTAGGGATCCTGAGATATCCCATAATCCACAAGCGGCCAAGGTCAGATGCTGCAAATCAAGGCCTCATCAGTGTCAAGTCTTTGTACCACCTTGCAGATTACACACAACAGAAAGCTCCCAAATTTCCCTCTTCTTCCAATACTGTATTGTATTTCTGCTTAGTTTAGAGATGCTACTAATGATAAAGCACAAGCCAGGAACACTCAGTTTTACTCGTTTCCCAGGAGAGTTTAAGATTTGCGTTAAAATTATTTTAGGAAATTTTAAATCACGTTCATAACACATAACACCTCCCTTTAGGGAAGGGCGGGTATCAATCTGCTGATATACACCAACAGGCTCATGGGAGAAGTTGCTAGAAAACACCCGAGTAAGAACAGAGAGAAGAAAAAAATCCAGGAGAGCCACTGCTGGCCCCCATCCTGTTTCCTCCCACCTTGTAAGAGTTCAGACCACATCGCATTTCCTGCAGCATGACCTGCACTGTAAGAGCCCTCATACTTACCTGTGTGAGAGTAGATAAACCAGAGGGCTCCTGTTAGCAGGGCTCCAATTACGAACGCCGCAAAGGCAATGCCCACGACAGTCAGCGTGTCCAGACCGTAGAACACAGCTACAAAGGTAAACACACGTTTTCAGTAAAGACTTTTTCAGTGGCAAATACCGTTTTAAAAAAATTCATCCTTACACTTTCATGGAAAAGTTTTTTAAAAATTCATAGTTAATCAAGCACCATTTTAAGGAACAGACTAGCAGATTTGCATCAAGGAAGTACAAGTGATGCCTTCAGAGACTGGCTTCAGTCCAACCAACTGTTCTACATCACAAAACAAAAATCCAGCTCAGCACACCCAAATCTGCAAAATATTGCAAAAATTAAGCATTCTCAGTTGGCTGTTAATAACTTGCTTTCGATTAAATATCCATTTATCTTAAAAATGTGTTTTAAAAAAGCTGAGATTTTTGGCAAAAGATGCTTTTCATTTAAATGTCCTAACATTCAAGTAAACTTTCCTCTACATCTCCTGCAATTTCTGTCTGAAATCTAGGTGGAGAACGGAACTGCTGTTAAGAGGGAAGAGATGCCAGCGAAAAAGTCAGCGAAAACATAAATAGAAACAATTGTTTTTCACATTTGGCAATGCTTTCAATAACTGAGATTAATTCCAGAACACAAAAATAGAACCACACACACACACATGCAAATCACTTTCTAGGGGAGAGGCCCTTTTACAGCACCATTTCAAAGGTAATAGCATCTGGTTCCTGGATGTATTGCCCCACAGTGTCAACCATCCAAACAGAGAAACGTTCGGCTTTGTGTTTTTCTTTTTGGTCATTAGAAATACTTCAAAAACATAATCATCAATCTTTTAACAATCATTTGGGGAAATTTCTTCTTACAAAATTGATTTCTAGTTCCAGTATTTTTAATGTCTCCCAGTGCACAAAATTACTTAGGCCAGCGAATAACATTTTACTGATTAAGCTTGCCAGGAAATGAGCTGACTGGATCTTCTCAGTAGTATCCTTCAGTGGAATTTCAGTTCCCAAAACACAACCAGCATCCTCACTTTATATGTTCCTGCACCCAGCAGATGTCTCTATAGACAACCCCCAGCCCAACAGCTCCCGAGATCCTCAGGGCCATTTGCCTTTTCCCGTTTTGACAAATGTCTTCTCCAGCGGTTCCTGTTGGCAAGGGCCTTCAGGAAAAAGTTTGCATATACAACACTTGACAGATAGTGGCTTAGAAGGTTTTTCTCCCATTTCTTCTATGAGACTATTTCTGATTCCTTTGGCCACATCTGGTCATTTTAAATGCAAACAGAAAAGACTCTCCTAAACTTAACTGTTTTTTCCGCAAGGCACCAGCCAGTGTCCTCTCCTCTTAGCAGAAAACTTAGCAGAGAAGAGAAAGTCACACAGAGGCTGAAGTGGCAGAAGCCTAATTTCTCATTGCCATTGATATTTTGAGCAAATTTAGTCCCAAAGACATAGGGACAAGAGTAGAGGAAAACACTTTCTTTGCACTTCCTCTTCTGATCTTCCCTTTTCTCCATTCATTCTTGGTTTTGGCTACAAATCATCTTCACCTTCCTGTTTATTATTGCCTTCTAGTGCTGCTTCTCTCCTTTTCTTCCCTTCCTGGATCAGTAATTGACCCTGGTTAATTCACTATGCCAAGACAACACAAAAACCAAAGAAATTAATCCGTATCAACTCAGTGATCTCATCTACAGCATAATCTATAAAGTGCTGGTGCCAGAGTAACCAGCGATGTGGCCAGATGCAGCGCAAGGTAGGAGTGAGGCTTAGAGAGTAGGACACAGGAGCTCTGTAAGATGGCATTGTTGAAACACTAGTATTGGGAAGCAGTGGCCCCAGCAGAGAAGGGGGAAATAACATACCCACACATCAGCAATGAACTTGCCAAGGCTGAGACTCTGAAAGGTGTTTTCCCAAATTTGTTTTTCACGTACGCAAAAGGTCACAGTTCCTCTCTCTAAATGCTGATAGGAATCTCTCAAGCAGCAATACAGTCAGAATTTCGTTCAGTCCCAGAATTTAACACGCACACACATACACACACACACACTTGGAAAGCCTGGAGATAATTTTCTTCATTCTTATACTTTCTAGACAAAAGTTCAAGCCTTAAAGAGATGGTTTAACAGTTACTTACGTGGCTGTCTCACATTTGGCGTTGGAAGGGAAGGATCTAATTTAAAAAAAAAACAACAGAAACCACAAAACATTAATCAGACTGAGTTCTACATACAGCCTACAAACTACGTAAGCAACCTTCAGGATCTGATCTGACAGAAAGACATTAATTGTAATTTTAACAAACCAGAAACTTCAGGAAAACTGGCCCGAATTCAATAATCTTGCTCAGCTCAAAAAAATTCTATTCACATATTGATCATTCCTTGGGGGAACATATCTATCATCATATCATGCATCATATATTTTGCTGGCATGTACACCACAACCTTTCCCACCCAGATGTCATCAGGTCTGACCTGCAGTAACTCTGGTTATCCCCGTATGGAGCTCTTAAAGAGCACAGATTGCAAAGGCTGTTTTAAGGTGATTATGTTCATCTGACTATTCACTAAACCACAAACATGAGACACCAGCATGCTAAATCACAAAAAAAATTATCAAACACTGGCTATCACCTCTAAAGAAAAGTCAGTATTATAGCATGACACACATCGCTTTGTCCAAATTGCATGAATATGTGTTGATTCACACATTTTTCTGAGTCCTACTTGACATACTGTCTTGGAAGTTGGGTGGTTCTTTTATTTTGTTTTTTAATTACATATAGGAAATAAAAGATCATAGCTATTATATCAAAGCTATTGTTCTTGGCAAGAATATCAAATATCACCATCATTATCAGCATGTACCAGAAAAAGACAAGTAAACATATGTTAAAAAATGAAGAATTTTCCCTTCTTTTGCTTAACTGGCTTCTCTTATCTTTCTCCAAGAATGCCACCTCAAGCAGAAGAGCCAGAGACCTTGGCTTCAGAGCCAAGGACCTGTTTGGTTAGCTGCAGATTGTTTCTGGATTGCCCAGTAACCTAGGGATTTCATTTAAATTCTGGCATATCTGAGTGTGTTCAGTGCAACAGCTGTAAAAGGATTTGGTAAAAGAGGGTGCCAATACTTGGTTTTTTATCTTTAGCAACTGAAGAAAAAAAAAGTTTAATTGCTATGTAAACATAGTAGCTCAGAAATACTAAAAAAAAATAATTTATTTATTTACAGTATTCTTAAACCAAACCTATGCTTCTAACTTCTAAAACCCAAATGGCAGCACTGGACCACCAGCAATATTCTACAGGATCATTAGGCTCTAAGACACATGGGCCTACAAGATCCAAAAAAGCATTTTATTCTTAAACCGCATTATTGTCACTTGTTCTAACTCACGAGCACCTCTTCCAGATCACACTTGGCAGGATGGTAGGAAACAGGTGGAATAGTAGTAGGAAACAGGTGAGAACATGGAGGCGTGCGTGGGTGTGCATGCACAAATAAGCTGGAAAGTCGTCAAGCACACATAACAGTAAAAGCATAACTGAATGTCAGATTTGTGAGGAGTGCTGGACTGAAACCAGGGAGCACTGAACAGCACAAACATGGGTAAAAAGCTATCAGATTGTCCAAACACTCTACTAGCATATCCCAAGTGCCAAGAAAGCACCTTCTGAGCTGAGAAGAGAATGAATTTTCCATGCTCTTTCTGTCATTGGCCACTCTACAGAGAATATAGAATCTGCTAATGAATGATAGGCCATGTAGTCCATTATCAATTCTCTCCAGTCATCCAGTTCTTACATGTATTGTGATGTGGTTTGCTCAGAGCAACACAGAAGTGGAAATCCTTGAGGTTCAGGAAAAGCATCTAATTAAAAAATATCAGCAGCCAGCCTTTAGAAATTATCATGAAATTATATTATTGAGTGCACCCTCAGCAAGTTTGCAGATGACAACAAGTTGTGTGGTGTTGTGGACATGCTGGAGGGAAGGGGTGCCATCCAGAGGGACCTTGACAGGCTGGAGAGGTGGGCCTGTGAGAACCTCATGAAGTTCAACAAGGCCAAGTGCAAGGTCCTGCATGTGGGTCGGGGCAATCCCAAGCACAAGTACAGGCTGGGTGGAGAATGGATTGAGAGCAGCCCTGAGGAAAAGGACTTGGGAGTGCTGGTGGATGAGAAGCTCAACATGAGCCGGCAATGTGCACTGGCAGCCCAGAAAGCCAACCGTATCCTGGGCTGCATCAAAAGGAGCGTGGCCAGCAGGTCGAGGGAAGTGATTCTGCCCCTCTACTCAGCTCTCGTGAGACCCCACCTGGAATACTGCGTTCAGTTCTGGAGTCCCCAACACAAGAAGGACATGGAACTACTGAAGCGAGTCCAGAGGAGGGCCACGAAGATGATCCGAGGGCTGGAGCACCTCTGCTATGAAGACAGGCTGAGAGAGTTGGGGCTGTTGAGCCTGGAGAAGAGAAGTTTCCAGGGTGATCTTATAGCAGCTTTCCAGCACCTAAAGGGGGCCTACAGGAAAGCTGGAGAGGGACTTTTTACAAGGGCGTGTAGTGATAGGACAAGGGGCAATGGATTTAAACTGAAAGAGGGAAGATTTCAATTAGATATAAGGAAGAAATTTTTACATTGAGGGTGGTGAGGCAGTGGAACAGGTTGCCCAGAGGAGTTATGGATGCCCCATCCCTGGAAGTGTTCAAGGCCAGGTTGGATGAGGCTTTGGGCAACCTGATGTAGTGGAGGATTTCTCTGCCCATGGCAGGGGGGTTGGAACTAGATGATCTTTAAGGTCCTTTCCAACCCTAACCATTCTACGATTCTATGATTTTCTATATTTTTGTACGATAGAGGCACTTGTTAGCTGCTCACTTGACCCTCTTTCTATGACCTGTCTCCTTTTGCTGTAGAAATAATAATCTGAAGTTTCCATACTTAGCAAAAATCTGAACAGTGATATTGGTAGGTTATTTCAACAGAACATGCATTTCCTATCATTTAAATGGCCATCCGTATGCCTTTCTTCAAAGTAGGGGAGAGTGTGTGTGAAATACAGGAATGCAAACGGAAAGACCATGGCATGGAGTTAGGTTTTAGACCCTTCCATTGGGATCTACTGCAATAACGTAAGCAACTGAGCTTGTAAATAACTAACAAAACTAGGAGGGGAGGAAGAGTTAATCTCATTTGGGTATACAGTTGTGATTTCTATCACAGTCAATGACAGTCATAAGCTTATGTCTGAAGTTTGTTCTGACTTTTGAAACATCAAGCTCGTGACTTCTACATTTGGCTTGGAAAGCAGATCCAATGGCAGTAACTCACATAATATGGTTTACAACAATGAAATCTGGCCTGTTCACATGAAAGAAAATGAAGAACACCACCTCTGAGATGTAAATTCTCCTGTTCAAGTAATGTGATACAATTTCTCCAAATCTTAGGTTCACATATTGGCCAACAATGGCACTTGGCTTTAAGAAAAGGGTTGCTTTATTCACTGCAGAACAACTGCATACCAACAAAGCTACGTTGTTAATGTGCCACTTTGTATTATGTCTGAAAGATGTGATATGCTGGGGAGATTTCCACCAAAGATCCCACAATTGGACACATCGCCCACGATGCAATAAGATACTCTATCACGCTGTTGTTTTGTAACTAATCTTTATAAATGTAGCTCGTCTTTGCACACTAAGACCTTGTGCCTCTGACAAAGACAACATTCTGAGTGGAGCCCAAGATGGGAGCTGCGCACAATGCTCCACACATCAGAAGGGCAAGAGAGCTCAGAGTATGAGTCTGTTTATTGAAAGCTGAACTTCAGTTGCAGGATTTACTCATTTTCAATAGAATAATCACTTTTAAAAAGAAAAAAAAAAGAAAAAAAGAGCATTTTGCAGAAAGAAAGAGCACAGAATCAGGCCCAAAGCACAGATCAAATACTTGCATTTAATTTGTATTAATATATTTATAAAATACCCCCAAAAAACTAAACATGAGTTGACTTGCAGTGTTGAACAGAAAAAGTTGTTGCTTATGTCCCCTAGCGATGCTGTACAGTACTTTAAATTGTTTGAAGACTAAAAAGCACGCACTGTACAGTGGAGGCTAAAGGACTTCTGATCCTTATTCTTTTGACACTCCCCAAAAAGCATTCCAAAGGTCAAACAGCCTTTGGACACAAATGGAAGATTTTGATGTGCACGTGAAGCCACTGAAGCTTCTGATTAAACTCCCTTGCGAATACAAAAAGAAAAGATAATGCACGTGCATTTTTTTCTATGAATGCACCAAAACATGACCCATGGTGCTGTCAGAGGGATTCACTAAGAGAAACTTTCAAATTAAATGAAACTGTGAAAACAGTTCTTATTTCCTGTCACTCAGAGGGCATATTTTTAATCTAGAGTACAGCTTCATCATGCTGCTTGGCATTATCTCATATTGCTCTTCAGCCTTTCCAAGTCCTTCAATCAGTTACTAGCCACATTCATGTTTTTTTCCATCAAGATTACATGATCAAACAAGACCCACCAAAGTGGAGCTAAAATACCTTTGCACATCTCAGCTTTGTTCTCAATAGTTTAACAGTCTAATGAGTATCTGTCCCGCGGCCATTCCTTTGCTTTACAAGTTTATCAGGATTTAGCATCCTTAACACTTTGTAACTCCATTGTTGTTATTCTTAAATATATACTTGCAAGAACGATAAAGAAGTGATACAGCAGGGAGCAAAGCACTGCCTTTGATCTCTGGGCAACAAGAAGTTGCTGGCAGCACTACTGCTATATTCATACTTCTGAAACCCATATTGTTGTGTAGCATGGTATTCCTTTCTCAACGTCTGGCAAAATCACATGTCCAGAGATCAATAAAGACAGTTAAAAAACAGCAATGAACTGCTGTGACTATTGCTGCCAGAGAAATGTCTAAACAAATAATGTCTTACAAACACAGTATCACTGCAAGATTATACAATGTCACATACTTGGACTACTCCCTCAGTTCAAGCAGCTGTATGGTACACAACATAACATATATAGCTTTATTAAACAGTTTAAGCTAATTTTCATACCTTCTGGTTTTCCTTCATGTGTTATTATAACAAGGGGCTTCGTGAAGGTTTTCTTGTTGTGCATCATGGCCAAGATCATATCCACGTTGAGAGAGGTGCAAGCTTCATCAGGAGGAACGCACTGCGAGTGGAAAAAACAGTGTGTGAGGTTAGAGAGTCACCCGTCTGCCAGGACAGCTGAGCCAGCTGCACAGTGTCACATTATCAGTTTTATCCTCTACTATTTACCAAAAAAAGAGGAGAATCTCCAAACAATCCCCAGGTAATGTACTGGTAAAGCTAATTCTTAGCTGTGCTTCAGGACAAAAACTTTGCCTTCACTAAGGATCCTCTAACCTTTATGAGAGTGCTACTATTGAACTTAAATGGTAGTAATTATTTTATTTTAGGATGTTTTTTAAAAATCTGGTAGCCAAAACTGTAGCCACCAACACATGTGTTGATCGACAATGACAAATCAGCTTTAAAATAATACATTCTAAGGGGGATATGCATAAAGCCTAAAGTAAAAATAAATTCCAAATTCTTAGAACACATTCTTTAGCAACTAATTTACAGTCATTTCCATAGTTATAAAGCAAAATTTGGCAAATCTCTTCTGCAACCATCAGACTGCAATATTATCTGATATTATGCATGCCTTTGGAAATTAAAGCTAACATTGTTTACACTTTGGATATGATTGTGATATGGATAGCAAAAAAAAAATCTGAACCACTTGCGTAATAAAAACCAATTTCTATTTATCCCATGTAACCAACTAATGAAATTTAAACAGAAACTGTAAATTATGCAGTCATAGCATTGTAACCCTTATTTGTTAAGATCTTGAGCCTAGAGATATCATTACACCAATTCCATAGAAAACGGTTTATTCACTTGAAAGTTTGGACGAAAAAAATATTGTATTTTCACCTAAATCCAAAGTTTAGACTTTACTGACCTTTGGCAGCCCTTGAGGATCTTTGTCTTTATTTGTACACAAAGTCAACTCGCAGTGAAGAAAGAGTAGTGAGATGTTGAACATTGGTTTAAACACAAAGCTAAATCTTTTTTTGTCCTTCTGTGCATGTGGTATTGGAAAGTTCACCTTCTCAATGCTATAGAATTTAACAGATTCATCTTTAGGACAAATGTTTTCTATAATGGTGTAGTCAGACATTCTATCTGGATTTGAAAACGGGGAAACGAAGCATGTTTGAATAGCAAAGCCCAAGGATCTGTCAGCTTTAGTCACAGACACCTGCATTAAAAAGAAAGAGACGGTAAGATCTCAGAAATTACATTTTTAGTTCACATTTCATTAACACTTTCAACAATTTTTTAAGCAGTTTTCCAGTATCACTTCCAATCTGAACTATTTTGAAGGCTAAATGTTAAGGATAGACTGTCAAACTGACAGACAGAAAAATCTGTGGTTTCAAAGCCAGCAGCTGTTTAATAGCATAACCGTGCATAAATACAACAATCCCTTATCTTTCCAAAAGCAGATGAAAAATCCAGTCCAGATCAGACATGTAGTTAATGACTGAAGCTACCACCTGAGATGGGGCTGCTTCCCTTAGACACAAAGACTATAACAGAGTTGCATGGAAGTCAACTACTAATTCTATGTCTTTGTATCTGTTTGAAACTTTAATGAAAAAGAAAAAAAAATAAAAGCAACAGAGACAACAGAGAACCCACCCCCAGCCAGGAGAGGAATGCAGAGGCAGAGAGGAGGTCATGGTCTGACATCTGGGTGGCATTCCTTGACTTGGGGGGGGGGGCGGAGTGTGGGGGAGTCTCCTAAAAAGCCATTTCTTGTGAAATGATCCTTTTAATTTACTTTAAGTCAGAAATTCATATTCTTTTATGAAAAATAATTAAGATTGCAACCTTCCAGGGCACTGATGTTGTTCAGCTGGACTGGAACACAGACAACAAATGCTACAGAATAATAAGGAAAAAATTTAAATGGAATTTGTAACAAATGAAGCATGTTGCTCTTAATAAACAAGAGAAGTGTTGTGCCTAACCATTAACGCTGCCTGATGAAAACAGTTCGACAAGAAATAATTTCCTTCTTAGAAGAAACGTGCCTTAAATGTGTACTTAGTCTGTATGTGCTGCATGTATATTTAAGGAAAAGCCTGCCAAATTTTCCTGTGGTCTACACATAAATTTTTGGATGCTATGAGTTATGAAGCGAATAAAGACATTTCTCGTTTTTTCTTTCTCTTATGTGACCAGCAATCAAATTAGAGATGAAGGGATGTGCTGAAGCATCTAAGCAAGAAAGATCATCTTCTAAAAAGAACAGAAATAAAGACTGATGAATGGAAGTAAAGGCACAGATACTGTCAGGTAAACAACATGATGGTGTAAACTAGTTAAAGAAGAGATTATGACAAGGAGGACAGGCATACTACAGTATCATGAAACGCTATCAGGTAAATAAAAGGATGAATGATATCTCAAGGAAAGATGAGAACTACAGGAGGAATGCGAGACCAAAATACGAGAAGAAAATGACAGTAGAGAATGAGGAGAAAAAGACAAAAGACTCAAATACAAAAAACATTTTTAGCAGAGAAGGAAAAGTGAAGCAGAGCTCTTACAGATTAGGACCTAAGCAATTTATTGACCAAAAAACCAAAATATATTTGTTAATAACAAAAGCAAAACAGAAACAAAAGGAAAAAAAAATCTGCGTCAGCTAAAAACGGAGTCACAGAAGTTCAAAACTGATACAGATTTTCCACTGTGCTAGAAGGAGAAAAAGAAAAAAAGCCTTCTGCCAGGACAGGTGATGAAGAAATCAGAACATCTGTCTGAATAAACAGCTCCAGAACCAGACAAATCCAGAGGGCTCAAAGCCAGGGGGATTCATCCCAGAACGCTGAAGGAAGCAGCTGGTTTTATCCAAATGAAAAAAACCCGAATGTATCTTTTATAAACATATTCTTAACTGAGTGTGACATACTTTCTTTTTTCTTCAACTGTCTTAAGTGTTTTTCACTAGGTAGAGAATAAGGAAGAGACACAACACACTGAAACAGTGAAGAAAACTGCACCAATGTCAAATGGGCCACTATGCTTATCATGTGCTCACAAAGAGGAACTAACTTGGGCAAGAGAAACGTGGCACAGCACTGCTTCAGTCAAAATACTCATTTTCCTGGTCCTACAGGCCGATAGCTCACCACTCGTGATTCACTCATCTATAAACTGGTGATACTACTTCATTGCCAATGTTGTATTTATTAATGCCTACCCTTATTTGAAAAATGCATGATTCTGTTCACATGACTATCTTTAGAAATACTGAGTGCATTGGTTTGAAATTCCCCAGATTTCATAAGCAATTTAACACCACATGGAAATATTATCCAGTCCAAATCACATCTGAAGTTGAGGGTACCTGGCTGTTGACTTTGCTGGTCTTATTTATCCAAACCTGTTAGATTTTTTGCGTAACAGCGTTCAAAAGGATTGTAACTGGTGTTTTTAAGTGGATTGGAGAGAGATCAGAATCTGTATTAACTTTGAGAACAGTACCATATGGAAGACAGACACTTGTAATCATTTCTTGCACATCTATATCTTTCAGATGAGTTTCAGCCATATTACCCAATAACATGAACCCGGAAATCTTCATCAGGAAAAGCCAGTTCAGAGCAAAAGCTCAGAGACCACCTTTAAAAAGTTCTGCACAGAAAAGCAGATTTGGCAAGAATGACCAATTTACCTTGTAGCAAAATTCATCCATTTTGCAGGAATCTTGTTTTTGACCCAAAACATTGTCCTGCTTCTTACCCCACACTTTCTGTTCTCTGCAGCTACTGAAGTACCCACCTGTCTGCGTAAAGCAACTGCACAACGAGACCCTTCAACTGATAAGAACAGATTTGGCTCAGTTGCATGGCCTCACAAAACATTTCCGTTAGTTTGAAAGCCTTTTTCAGTTTGTTACCTCTACATATATTGGCCCATTCTCAGCAACAGAGAAGAGTCCTTGGGAGGGAGCAAGGAACAGATCTGTTTTGTACAGCTCCATATTGAAGGTCACATTGGTGATGTGTGGTTCAGGAGGCCAGAAGATGCCTCTGTCATCCTCTGGTTGGTGCAGCGTGCAATTAAACTGAAATGAAAAAAACAATACAATAACATTCCAAGTCAGGAGTGGTAGCTGCACAAGGACAAATTTGGAGTGTACAATGCAGGCCCACCCACATTACGTCTACTTAGTGCAAACCTTCAAGAGGGTCACAAGAAACAGAAGTGAGAAGAAATGTGTTAAAACATAAATTAATTGCTATACAATTAATACAATTTATGTGAAGTGCCTATTACAATAGGCATTTCTCAATTGTCAGGTGCAAACCTGAGAGTAACATACCGCTATTTCAGGCCAGTTTGAGAAAGCAACATCTCCCTCATCAGCATCCCCTGGGAATCCATTATCACCTGATTCCATGTCATCATCATCAAAGCCGCTGCTTTCAGCTGGTGATGACAGCTGAATGACAATCTGCACAAAAGGTATTGCAAACGCATAGATTAGGTGATAACTGAGCACTCTCTCTTCATGGTTATTATTTTCTTCTCTCCTCAGAACAATGCAAAGGCCAAAAGAAGTGCACCAGCTAAGCAGATGGTGAAAGTGCATCTTAAACAGCCTTATGCTGAGCACGTATGATATGTAGGTTATATTTAGAGAACGTCCCTTATTTTTTTCCAGAATTCAGAGCCAGCAAAGACACCAGTCTGGGTGCTGGTGTCTGAATGAGCAGCCTAGCATTTTCATTCTATTTCTGGTATTTCTATAATCAACACTGAAAAAAGAAATGGCTTTCTAAAGTGATTTTTTGCAACTTACAGTTTTCCTTAATGCACTCACAGAAAATCACTGAAAGCATTAGGGTCATTAAAGTATTTTCCCCTCTGTCATTTGCATATTTTTTTCAGAGATGTACATCCAAAAACATGATGTCCATTTCTTAATTTTTCCCTTCTTTGTTTTTCTCCGAATTTCCTTCCTTTGCACACCTCTCAATTTCTTTGCCTGAAAATTCCTGGTTTTGTTTTCCAGTGTTCTGCACTCTGCTTCTGTATGCCCTGGAGCTCCTCAGCTAGTCCCCTCCCTTCCAGAACTTCATTTTTGATTTCTTGGACATAGAGCAACTGCTGAGAAGTAACATATACACTCTTTGAGACTCCATTGCATAGTGTTTATTTTTTAGGAGAAATACTCCCAAATTCTGAAAGATACTATACATGATTCGGAGTTTAAGTGAGTAGCCAAGGCTATTAAAAGACATGATGGAGAAAGGAGAGGAGGCAAATACCCATTTTAGTTTGGGTTATAATAGAATACAGTGACAATGACAGTACTTAGCTCCAGACACGTGCTGTTCTGTAGTTTGGAGATGTTTCTATCTACAGTCTTGGTCTGGGACTGTTTCTAAAGTTAGGTGCTACAGATTTGTCAGTATGAAATGGTTTTAACGAAGTAAGGTCAGATTAGACTGCCTTAGCTGTGTCTGGGTTGGATCACAGGCCTTCCATCATTTGCCAAGGTTACTTCTACATATACTGGAAAGCTCAGCAAGAGAAACATGTCATTAGTTTCCCACCCAGAATAGCTGCACTGTACTCAAGCTCATAAGCTGAGCCAGTCTGGAAGCAGTCGCTTAGAACTTAACTGGGCTCCTTAGCATCATCACTCATATATGAGTACTCAGGAGTCCCTTCATCGTGTACATCAACTGATAGCAAATATGAATCCAAATTATAAGAGAAAAGCATGCACAGATAATGTCTTTTCCTCATATTTTGAAAGACTTTTTCCACACACAATTTTGGAAGGAAAAGTTTCACTTAAAATAATTCAGCATATGAATTAAACAGTATTGCTCCATGCAATCACAAAACTTCATTCTTATTCCTCCTTACAGCTATGTGGTACTGCTTATGTATGGGTACATCGAAGCTGCACAGGGAAAGCCGGTGCAACTTCTCTGGGATGGATACAGGCGGTCCCCAAATTGCAGCCATGCAGTTTTATAAAAGTACTTAACTCCAATGCCTCCTTTTTCCTTCAGGATACTATCTGACCACAGGAGCACACTGAATGTGCAGCCTTCATACCTCCTTGAATACAGGGACTGTAGCTGCAACTAGGTTTGAGCTAGACAGGAAAAGGTCATAGAATCATAGAATGGTTAGGGCTGGAAGGGACCTTCGAAGGTCATCTAGTCCAACCCCCCTGCAAGGAACAGGGATATCTCCAACTAGATCAGGTTGCTCAGGGCCTTGTCCAACCTGGCCTTGAACGTCTCCAGGGATGGAGCATCCACCACCTCTCTGGGCAACCTGTTCCAGTGTTCTACCACTCTCATAGTAAAAAATTTTTTCCTAATATCCAACCTGAACCTACCTCCCTCTATTTTAAAACCATTACCCCTTGTCCTATCATAACTGGCCCTCCTGAACAGCCTCTCCCCATCTTTCCTGTAGGCCCCCTTGAGATACTGGAAGACCGCTATAAGGTCACCCCGGAGCCTCCTCTTCTCCAGGCTGAAGAGCCCCAACTCTTTCAGCCTGTCCTCCATCTCTGTCAGGATGCCTCCTTTTTGCTAAGACTAAAGCTAACCACAATGGCTTTCTTGTACCACTATGATGTGCAGTGCAGAAGGCGAATCCTCTTTGTAAAATACTCACAGAGTTAAAATAAACAATCTTGTTCAAGATATATGCTGTCCGAGTCCCACATTTGTTCAGCAAAGACTCCAAAATGAAATGGGTACCATTCATCCTGGCTTTGCAAGAGTGATCCAGCAGCGAGAGTTCTGTTCTTGTGTAGCCACTAGCCTGAAACAAAGGCACTTTGTAAGTGGCTGAAACACAACTGTGTTAGGCTCTTGCTTAAAGTGCAGCTCAGAATACTGTTCATGACTGCTGATAGGAGGAAGTGAAGTTCATTGTACAGACATCCAGGGAAGGTCACTCTCAAAATGCTGTTATATATAACAGACAGGGAATAAATGTAACATGAAACAAAGAAAACAACAAGCTCATTATTAATCTGCTGATTAATAATGCTGACACTGTGTGGTCTGAAATGAGCTAAAAATGCTGTCTGTATCAGGCTCTTTTCCACAATGCAAATGGACACAAGCAACCTGTCAGCTGGTGGATGGTAAAGACAGATGTATTCAGGTCTCACACAGCCATCAAAAGCAGCTTCTTTGTACTTTGGAGATTAAAAACTCAGACTGATGGTTGTTGAGTACAGTAATTTTTTGACAGAACCAACCCTGCAAAGCTTTAATCAGAAATTCCTCTAGAAACTACCGGATTGTTGGGAAGAGGAAACGTGACCCTGAGTCATGGCAAAGAACATCTACAGTATAGTTTCCTCACCAAACTATTTTTTAGGGGGTTGAGTGGTGATGGCTGTAGATGTTCTTTTATTTTTTCAGTCAGAATACAGAAAATGGTCTGCCCAAAAAAGCCTGCCCACATTTGAGAATAAGAGATCACACCAACCTGCAAAGAGTCTTTTTCTACAGCTACTGTCATGACTTTGTCATCACACTTTATTGACAGGGCCACATCAGCACTGCCCTGAACCTCTTCAGGTTCTTTATGTTTTGAGAAGGAATGTTCAAAGTCATGATTTATTAATGTATCCACTGAACTCCTGGCTGGGAAGATTCCTTCTCCCACTGTGTCATGTCTTCCTCTGTTAATGTGAAAAGGAAAAGTCAGGCCGTCACTTAACGCAGGATTCTTCGGGGCCGGCAGTGGGTTAGCACCTAGCAATTCTGTCAGCTCCGGAGGAAGGGAATGATCTTCTTCATCATTCATCTCTTCTAAAAAAAAAAAAAATAAAAAAGGGGGAAAAAAGAACATTAGGTTATTAGATATTTTTCTTACAAGTATCCAGAACTAATCATTTCTATATATATATAAAAAAAAATATTATCCAGAAAGGAAGCTCTTGAAGGACATTTTCGAGGTAACAAGCCACAATTCCTCCACTAAGCATTTAGTTGTTACTGAGGCATCTAATCTTAGTATATTTAGTCCCTGCTAGAAATCTGCCTCACTAAGAGCTGCAAATAAATTTTGAGGAATGAGCCTATTATACGCAAAAGGCAAGCACAGAGGTAAAAGAAACATCACACTGAGCAAATACACTATTTTAGTACAGCTGAAATAGCTTAAGTGCAAATAATTGGGTGAAATTCTTCCATTACCTGCCCCATCACAAATTCAGTCACTCCCCTGTTACAGAATTACTTACATAACCAGAGTGAAGTTAAACGAGAGTTAACTTTATATTGAGTAAATAAGAACACTGTCTCCTGGCTTATACACGTGACTGCTCAGAACAGAAATCCCAACATCTGGCCCAAGCAGATAATTATCTGTAACCCATGAGAGTGCAATTGATAAAATTAATGTGAACATAAACTTTATCAAAATAGCTAAACAATATTTTTAGTGGTTGGAATTCAAAATTAGTGAAAAATCAGATGCAACTCCACTAGCTTCAATGAACCCAGATACCTTTACATCAGCTATTACTTTGGCCAAATAACTAATTATTTTTAAACAGCTGTATTTATTCTGTTTGCTCAGACTTTTTGGCAAGCCAATTTTGTCTGTAAACAATTTAAAAGCTTATTTAATTGTCTCAAGGAAACACTATGCTCATGCTTTTGGAAAAAAAAAAAAACAACAAAAATCAAAGCTGAATTTATTAACTAACAAGATATCCAGTTGCTGAAGTCCATTCCAGTGAACACTGAGCATGGTCAGCTATCATGAATTGTGAGTTGGATAAACTATAACTATTTAATTCCACCAACATTTCAGGAAATAACACAATTTGCCTGGACTTTTCTAATCAAAAAGCCACAGATTTTTATTTTTTTTTAACCAGCACTCAGAGGTATCATATCGTATAACCAGCATTCTTGATGATGAGCAGTGAAAGTAGTGTAACTCCCAACAACAAAGCTTCAAAACTGAGAAAGTGCCTTTCAAATCATCATATTCCTGGAAATACAAGTTATACTTTTTCTATATGCAAAAAGCCCATCTTCAAGCTTACCTGTATCTTCAAGCTGCAGATGAAATCTGTTAGCAACAGGGGCTTTTGTGTAGGAAGTAACTGGACTATAGTTATGCTCATAAGCCCACTTGATCAAACTCTCGTGCGATGAGGGAATATCAGGTATTACTGATTTACTCATAGCCATAGATCGTTCCGTTTCCTTTCCAAAACCAATACTATTTGATGTCTGCAAACAAAGATAAACTTGGCTCATGATTTACCATTTAAGGATACTTAAACTGGAATAGTGGCACTGGTTGAACATGGTTTTTACTCTATTTACTCTATTAAATAACAGCAAACTGAGAACACCTAGGAAATAAACCAAATTCTGCCACCTTAGGCACAGAACTGCTGCACACATGGAGAAAAGCCACCCTCTTCCTCCTTGTCTCTGCCTGGAGTACAATAAATCAAGGTAGTCAGAAACTGTTAATCCCTAAACGAGACAAAGACGTATTTACAGCCATTTGTATACTGTCGTATTTTCTTCAAAACTGAGTTGAAAGAACTGCTGAGGTGAGGTGAACTCAAAATGACAACGGATTTTTCAAACATCCCCTTCATTCCCTTGAGTAGAGCACTAAAGCTACATATGGGAAAACCTTTGTTCAAATGAGCATTACTGAAAAAGGCAAAACATAGCATGCTCATGAAGTAGAGCTGATATCAGCTAATGCTTTAAAGTCAGCTGGCACCAAGGACAGTTTGTGCCTCTCTGAACAAACTTCATACTAGAAATGTTCTGTGCCTCCTGCAAAATGTTGAGGATGTCAAAGCAGGACTGAATTAAATGCTCAATAGTGCGATAAGAGAAAATATGCACTCATAATGCACTTGCCAGTCTCTTTGTTTTATTATTAAATAATTACAAATAATGATTCCTTAAAGTTGGCCATGGAATACAGATGAATCAGAGTCAGTTAGCTTTCGTTTTACTGGAAATGTTTTTCAAAATTTCAAATTTTCTTGTCCAAATGGGCAAGTCAAAGGAATATAACCAAGCACCTCCAGCTGCTAGAGGGGCAGTTAGAAAATATTCACTGGTATTACACTTTAACTTGCTTTTAAGTACTTGGCATCTTACACTTAAACATGTATTCACACAAAGCTAAATACATATATATTTATTTTTACATTCACATTACTATTATCACTATAACAATCATGTCAACGACTACAGAACAAGCTGAACACACACACAGCAGAAAAGGCACGATGACTCACTTTTTCAAGGATTTCTGCAAAGTGATTGCATTGCACTTTCTAGATGCAGATGATATCAATGAATGCTCTACAACAAACACTTCCATTTCCATGCCTGATTACCTTCTCCATCATATAGGTAGCATTTTTTTCATTTTTAAAATCCCCATTAGTTTCCCCCAATGTGAACAAATCTTAATTCTCTTTCACTCTAGAACATCAAAAGATTGACTGCACTGATCTCTTTTCCTCATGTCGCTTTTAGACAGTGGTATAGTATGGACCTGCTACCCAGCATCAGAGATCAGTTCCACTTCTCTACCAGACCTCAGAAATGGAGCTTTTCAACAAAGTAGTGAATAAAACTCAGAGTGTCCTGATGGAACGGCATAGTTTACCTTTAGCTCTCTCCCTCATTTCCTCCTAATGACCCAGTTCTGCATCCTTTAACACTCACAGCTTCACAACTGAATGTAAAAGGAATTTTAGGTCCAGTGTCTCGTTTGAGGATACCGTTACCAGTAGTTATCAATGACCATCAAAGGCCACTGAAGATAAGAAACGAAAAAGGAAGCAACAGGTATCCTAATTTTAGTGCCTTAATAGTGTTTTGGATTAAATAATCTTTTATTCTTCACACATGTAACACATTTTCTCATATTACCACACAGCTTTGCTTGGAATTATTATGCTACCCCAACTTTGCTGGATCTCCCTCTCTGCTCTCTTTTTCTTTTTTGTCACAAGGAGACAGCTGAACAAATATTATTGCAGAATTTTACTGTCCTAGCTGGCACCTGACCGTTTCCAAGGCTTGTTTATACCTCTCCACTCCACACTGAGCCTGTAAATGTTCAGTCCTGCATCACCTCCATGAAACAAAACCGAGCGCAAGGGCTTGCAGGAACAGACATACCTTCCTTCACTTGCCTGCCCTGCCAACACCTTCACACACAGTGTACGAAACCAGGCAACCAGAGCTACCTACCAACCTACTCAGACCAGAGAGACCATTTCAGAAACTGGCCAGCAGCTGTTCTCATGTAAAGAGCAGGCCCTCCAAGGTTTTGAAACCCTCAGAGGTTTGTTCTGCACATTTCGCCTCTCACTCTTCACCCCTCAACATGCTTATTTTCTTTCTGCAATTTCACTTTGTCCACTGTGTGACCCGCAGCTTTGTAAAAAAGGACACTGAATCCAAAAGGAGCAATGCAAATGGCAGAGTCCACAAGCGCAGGAACACACAAGCACAGGGGCTGACGCAGGGACAGACTGCAAACAGGAGATAAACACATCCTGGGAGGAAAGCATTGTGTGTACATTATGTGCAATTACCCAAACTATTCCCATTTTACTTGGTTTTATGTCCATCCTCTTTCAGAGTTTCGAGAACACAGCAAGCTGGGAGATGAGCTAGATGACCTAAAAAGTATTTTTCAGTTTTCGTCTATGAACTCAGACCTTAATAACTCACAGCCCTGGGTTTGAGGCTGCTAGCACTAACCTTTCCCTCTCGGTTTGCCAATCCCCTCAAGACAAATCTGATTCGTAGTGAGGGCAAGAAGTTAGGAAAATTCAAGTGCATGGAACTGCTTCAACTAATAAAAGAACACTGCGAAACATTACCTAATTGTTTAGTAATGTTTTTATGCATTGTCTAAATTTGGGCTTGGAAAGGCCTTAAGCTTAATAGAGATATGAACAGATCCTAAATGCTAAATGTACAGGCTTTTCAATGACATGGGCATATTGAGTTCCCTCCCACTCCTCCTCTAAATAAAAGAGAACAAACACACATTCAGAAAATGATGCATCTATATAAATGAAGCAGTATAGCCAACAGTTACTCACAAATCCTAATACAACGTCTTTTATATACTGACATTTCCATATATAGTATTACTTTCTTTTTGTTAATCTATATGAAATGTTACCTTCTGCCACTTGTTACAGAAAGAATTTTCACTTATACTTTTACATATACCTTCAGTAATTAATAAAGAAGAACTTTAAAAAGAACAGTAGCCTTGCTTTTCTATAATCAAGTGCAGAACTTGACAATTAAAAATCCTCCAGAATTCCTCTCCCTGAAAATACATCACCCATAAAGAGATAGCTTCATGGATATGAAATATGGTACTTTGGCTATCTCCAAGCATGAAGTGAACTAATGCCCGATTCTGTCCTGTAAAAGCAGACCCATATAGGCCTAAATATACAGTGGTGAATTTCATGTAATAACCCAGAATGAGGCTTTCAAGTCAAACACTGCTTTTTGCCCTTCTGCTTACAAGTGTGGTAATTCTGGGCAACTAACCTTGACCTTTCTCTTTAAGGGCTGACTATTTAGGACCTACAGAATGACCAGAACATCCTTTCTTGTCTGTAAAACAAAGATGTGCCAGGGATCAGAAGAGAATTTCATGATCCACTCTAGATAATTTTTCTATTCAATTTGCCAAGCAACACCACAACTTATTTCCTTTTATTTCCCTCACTGAAAATCTAGCACGAAATCCTGCCTACCAATCTGTACTTTTAGAAGACTTAGATCAAGCAGCCTTTGGATCCTGTTAGAATTGCCCTTGCATGCATTAAAAGGAGAAAGCTACTAAGCAAAGAAAAATTCTTATAAATATTGATAGCTGGAGTTTGAAAATGTATCTGAGTTATTGCAAAACTGTTAATCAGGAGACCACTGGGTGGTCCTGAGCAAACATCCAGCTCAAGTGTACAATGTGTTCCTAACTGATCACTTAAGACAGAAATAGGCCACACGTTTATAGACTGCAGATCAGTCCAATTTTATTCATTTATTTCAGAAGAAGGGAGAACACATCATCTTAGTAGAAATGGTGTTGAGCCACAAAGCCTGTACCAAAAATCATTCTGAATCAGAACCTCCAATTATGCATAAGCATAGTTTCAGAAGCCTAGCTTTAAAGATTCCAGTTTTAATTTTATTTAAAACTTATTATTTGCAGTCTGAGGAGAGGTGAGGGGAATTAGACCAAACACTTGATGGGGACAGGAGTACTGGCAGGGAAGTGGGCTAGAGACTACAACCACAAGGGGAAGGACTAAAAAAGTTTCCACTTCTAAAGGGATGCGGGTGCATGCTGCGTATCTAGCATCATCCATTCTGCACTCACAGGCATCTTTCCAACTTCTGAGATCAAGCTGTAAATACACTCACCAAAGTAACAGCAAAAGGGAGATGAACTTCCAACTCAATGTTTAGGGTACTTCAAGAGGAGTCGGAAAGTCATAGACCCTAAATCCTTGCACTAATCACCCAGATTCTGTGATATGCTGGTCAGTTTAACAGTCCATATATTAAAAGCTTATGAGAAAAAAACCCACATAGCTTCTGTATTTAGTCCTTGAAATGCAGTAATAATTTTAAAAAGCAGCTAAGAGAGAAAACGTCCAGAAATTAATATGATCTAGCACTATATCACATTTAAATGGATTCTATACTGTTGCAATATGGTATCTCTCAAAAAAGAAAGGTGTCTTAACTTACAATCACTTCCAGCTTTCCCTGGACATCATGCGACTTGATAACCCAATTGACAGACTTTTTACACTTGAGGATAAGTACGACATCTCTGACAAGTTTGGCGCCTGGTTGAGATGGTTTAATGTCAACAATTATATCCACCTGGAAAGCACTGTACGTGGAAAACAGAGAAAGTTAGACCAGAATGCCAGAAATTTTCAGCTATCAACCTTCTTCCAATCCATCATGTTTCCACTGTCTGGCCAGCTGATTAAAATGCTGGAGATTATCCCAGGCAACACAACATGTGCAAAACAGATTGTTACTCCACATATGCTTAAACGTTTTTGCATAACAATAAAAACAAATCTCTTTTAGACAAATAATATTTTTGTTTCTTGTTTACAAGAAGGTGCTACTCATTTCAGCTGTTATTTAGAGCAGGTTAGTTATATGATCAGCAGTTTGCTTTATAAAGTAAATATTGCTTTCTTAATTCACTGCAACAGTGCCTAAATATAGCTGTTTCAGACTACAACTGTATTAAAGCTCAAAATAATACCTTAAAAAAAAGCAAAAAGACAAATTAAGTAGGTTAATACAAAAAAAAAAAGCACAAATAGTATATTGGGGAGTGTCTCTGCCTAGGCAGTTAAATTGTGGAAATTACTTTGCTTAGGATCTTGCGTGTGTGAGGAATTAAGCTGCGTATTCAGTTTCCAATACTTCTGGATATATACTTACTTTAAAAAGAAAAGAAAAGAAAAGAAAACAGATGTCTAGTCTACTGCTTGCTGGAAAATAGATGGAACACTATCCACACTTTCAAGACCTCAGTAAAATAAGTAGAGCAAATGGATTTGTATCCATCAATAACCTCTTGTCGTGCAAAATCTTAATTCAGCTGAAAAACTTTTACTTCCATATCATCTTATGGAGCCATATGTCACAAGAACGTGCTCATCCCCAAGTAACAGGTTTCAACTAAGATTCTGTACTGAGACTTAGTGTATCTCTGTTTCACCTCCTGCAGTTTAACACATGCCCAGCTCAGCTCCTGTATGTTTCCCTGTGGATATAAGCTTTGTAAAGACAGCTGTGAATAACACCTGAAACTAAGAACAAAACAAGAAGAATTTAACTTTTTTTAACTTTTAATAACAAGACACTTAAACATTTTGCAGTGTTATCATCTGAAAAATAAATTCCTATCGTACTATTAGCCAAAGTCAAAAGCCCAGAGTGTTTGGAGACAGGGCTGTCATTGTGTAACACTGCAAGGGACTTACAACGATGTCGATGTTACAGAACAGCTCTGTACAGGACGGGGCTGCAACTCACACCACACAGAGGCAGATCACTTGGGCTTACCTACTCCACTTCCACTACATCTCAGCACCTTCTTACTCTCCCAAGGTTGCTAGGCAAGAATATTCTCAGGCTGTGGGTTCACCATCTCGCAATGACAAAAATATCCTTCCTGCAAAGACCTCTCCTCTCACCTCTGTCTCGCTGTGTGATTTCCTCATTATGGATAGAATGTGCTCAAATGTAACTGTGTGAGGAGCACAACTGGACAATGCTGGATATCCAGTGTCTGCAGTATGCAGACAGGATTTTAGTTCTACTTTATCTCTGATGAAATTGTACTTTGCTTCTTGCAAAAGGGAAAAATCATCTAAGTTTCATAGGAAATTTCTGTTCTAGCAATGATACTCAGCACTTATGAAGAGCTTTTCCAGCTATGACTATCTGAAGCAAATCCTCTTCATGTGCTTCTACTAAGACCCAGGAGAGACCAGCAAAGGCTGAACATTTTAAACATCTTACCTCCCCTAAAGGTACCTTTGACAATTTAGATAATCCTCATTATGCGTACAGAGAGTTAAGTAATTTTCTCTAACCACTAATTACAAACATTTTTGGTCAGTGGGCCACTGTCAACCCTTAACATTTCTTGCAGTTATCAAACTGCCCCTTAAACTCATCTGGAAACTTGACAGAAAAATCTGTTATGATTCTGCCGACCAACTGTGGAACAACTACCATGGACTGCAGATCACTTACAACCTCTGGACCACTGTTTGAGAGCCACTGCCCTAAGCCTTGCTGTTGGTCATCCCTACCTGTGACAGGTCAAGATTACTTTTAACCTCTCTCACCTCTTCATACAGTTGTCCCACCTTAAATGTTGTCTGTCAGATGCTTCCCTTATTTATATCCCCTTATTCACCTTATATTGGAAAAATTTGATGGATTAAGGAAGAAGAGGGGCAGGATACAGCCCATAAAAAAACATGCTTTGCAGTCTTGTCCAGAAAAATCCTGGGATTGTGAAGCAGAATCCAAAAATCTTCAGTATGTAAAGAACTAATTTCTATTTAAGACAAAGTACTAATGTCCAAGCTCTTGTAAGGATGAAATGGCTACTTTCAGTTGATTTTCAACAGACAGGTGAAATCTTTAGCTGTGATTTCAAACACATTTAGTCTATTTAGATACTTTACCTGTGTGGATTGGAATTTGGAGTCATCAGTTCAATGATATGAACTTCTCTTTCTTGAACTAAGTTAGACATAAGGCACCCTTCTGCTGTTTTTGGTTGTAGGTATCCCGCAAGGTAATTTAAAGAGAGAAAATTCTTTTCTATGTTGCACGATGGAGGAAAAACTTGATCTGGAGGAGGGGAAAAGAAAAAAAAGCATATGCATCTTTATACACAGATATCACCTTATATGCACATAGGTACCACATCTACTTCAGTGTGACACTATATTTTGACATAGGTTTTTAGGCTAAAAGGTGTATCTATTATCTATCATAAGCACTTATGACAAATCTACATAACACTGAAAGGGAGATTACTGTTGCAAAAACACAGCACATCTCTGATGTAAAATATATACTCCTAAACTGAACAGTTTCTATTTACAGATTTAAATATTTAATTAAAGAAAATCCCTACAAAGAGAAATCTGAAAACAATATTGAAGCAAAATATGTGAGCATTTCTCAAAATGAATAAAATACATTCAATGTGTTCCTTGCACCTTTAAAAAAAATTATTTCTTTTGAAATTAACTCACTGAAAACTTTTGTGATCAGTTCTTTCTCCCTTTAGAAAATGTTTTATTCTTGTTATTATAAACCTACTACATTTAAAAGATCACAGAAAGTACTTTCCATTTCCTTACTCAATATATTTTCCAATATATTTGTAGTCAGAGTCAGTGCTGTCTAGAAATACTGCAGTTCTCTTGCGCATGGAAAATTGAATATAGCAAGAAAAGGACAAAAATAGTTGTTGATGTTAAAGAAGTCTGACCATAATATCCATAACTAAAATGAAGAAATTCTAGAGTAGATATTCAATCTCTTTTGGTTTTAACTGCCTAGTTGATCGTGAGCATTAACTAGTGTACAATGGAAAACATAAAAAACAGTCACTTGGTATGAAGTTCTCATGCACAGTCTACTTTACTGTACCTGAAGAAGCAGTATTTCCATTGAAAAACAGGAATACTTTGTGTTTCTGAGATAGCTTTACATATTAATTGTTGTAATACACAGAAGGACTAAGTATCATGCTCAAAGTCCTTGAACAATATAATTCCAAATGGCTGGCTCTTTGATCTTTGCTTTACAAAGAAGGCTTTCCTATTAAGGTCAGTAGCAAGATAGAAAAAAGAAAAAAATCAAATATAAAGCATTATGCATGCAAAACTGTGGACGAACTCTTAAAAGCTGAACTGAGACCACTGTTAGCATTTCCTCCCTGAACAAGTGCTTGAAATGTCACCCCTGAAGCACATTTGTGTGTGGCACACAACTTTGCAGAGACCAGAGGCTCCTGTGACCCCAGCCACTGCAGGAACAATGAGGGGAGTTTCTTCTCCTGATCTTACACAAAGTAGTCTTTGAATATTAATCTTGCTGTCTTCCCTACAGAATCTATGAAAGCTGTACGAGGCTGTTAACTATTCATACTGCCCCAGCAAAGCACTCCTCTAACATCTGCTGCGTGCCCTGACAGATCAGCCTTGAATGCAGCTGCAGTTCTGCCAGCTCCTCCCACAACAGCACAGAATGGAAAATGATCCCAAGTGGTCTACACTGAGCTTAAGTTTATACATATACATACACACACGCACACGGAGATACGAGGTATCTGCTTCCAAGCTGCCATGCAACACAATTCAAGCCATAAAATAACAGCCTCTGAGTAGTCTGTGGATAATTACCACACATGCTATCATTCGCCACTGCAGAGAACTTGGTTCCTGCTCCTGGCACTGCTATTGAACGTCTTGGAGCTCTCAGAGCCGCTGCTCTCACTGTCAGCAGCGCAGAGCCCCCAGCCTGGCCCTCTGCTCCACAGCACACTTCTCCTCCGCAGCACTGACTACTCAATGTACACGTTTACTTCCTCCCTTCACCAAAACGTATTTACTCTCTTCCATACCAGTTACCAACATCTGGGCTGGAACACAAAAGAACAGGGGATCCATTTCATCTGTCTTTGCCCACTACACTTTTCTTTTTTAGTTTCAGGGCTGCCTACTTACTTTGGAAAGGGATGGCAAGTGTCTGCAATCAATTAAAAACCTTACTAAACCAGCCAGCAAACAGCCAATTTACAGACTCAGTGCCTCTCTAATCTCCACAGGCTCCCTGTACGGAATCAGACAGGAGGATTGCCTGCAACACCCTCAGCAGAGGCTCTGGCCAGCACACTCTGGCCAGGCTGGTCAGATGAAGGCAGAAGATGGCACGCTGGGATCTGTAGTTTCTGTGGGCAGCACCTCCATTTTACAGACAAGGACAGACACCGCCTGCTCTATTTTGCACAACTTCAGTGTCATCCACAGGTTCTTGGCTAAATCAGACAAAAGTTTAGTATCCCAGCTTAAAATCATGAAGGGGGTTTTGTGAAAATGAGCACAGTTAATCAGGCGTCACTCTCCAAGGCAGGCGCCCTGGGCAGCAGCAGTTTGATTCAGCAGTAGAAGTCCCATCCCAAGCAGAGCCTGTCCTTCAGTCTGAGCTGGGGATAAACAAGGCGTTTAGGATTTTCCTCAGTCACTCTGATGGAGGGGCTTTTTCGTGTGTATTTTGCAGTTTACCAGCCCTTAACAGTACTCGGCCCCTGGAGGACACGCAGCTCAAGCCTGACACAATGCCATCACCTACGAGCACCAAACTGTGCACTTACGGTGTGCAGGGTACGTGCACTGGTGCGTACAGGCTACAAACTGCAGAGTCAGGCCTGAAACTTCAGCTTCTGCCAGGACAGGAGCAGTGTTACTGTCTGTAAACAGACTGTACATTTTCCAGTCTAATTATTGTTATGGCTAACTATTTTTTTTTTCTTATTCAGCTAAGAAATGTGTTGAAATTACGCTCCCTCCAGGCTAGCACATCTGCCCTGGATTTACCCTGGTGGTACTGGATGCGTTTAGCTTATGATAAGCCTTCCTGACTTGCGCAATTGTATCTTATTGAAGCACGAGGAATTAAACTGACTTCTGCTGAAAAATGTGTACTAAGATCACTTTCACCGTGAGCAGTCCCGCTTTCTACAATCTGACAGCAATTATCACAGCAATCACTTTGCCATCTCTTTCACTACACAAATCAAAGCAAGAAGAACCACCCCACTTCTTGTGCCCCCTTCCTCCAAACTCTCATTCTGGACCCTTTAAGATCTCACTGTGCCTGCAGTATTTGATCAGCCACTCCTTTGAATCAACAGGACTCAGATGCACTTGGCCCTGACCCAGTTTGCTAGCTCACTCAGCTGCCTTTCATTTGCAGCTTCAAAAGTGATTTCAGAGACCCATGGCATCAGCAGCAGTCTTATTCTATGAAAGATCACCCTTCTCCAGATCTTTTTGTCCTCTGGCTTGCATTTTCTGTTTGCTGTAGCAACAGCTACAGCCTCCACTTTTAAAATGTTACATCTTCCAGTTTCAGATTTTTCTAACTTGAGTGAAGCTGAAAAGTAGACAATTACACAAATACTGCCATTAAATTCTGTATTGGTCACATAGCAAGGACCTACTTCATACGACAACCTATAGATTATGAGTAATACTAGCTCAGCTGGTATTCACTGAGACTCAGCTCACACTGGCAGCTGAGGGTACCTGACTAAAGCACTTGAGGAGTAAGAGATTTGTATGAAAAGCCTGAAACATCCATCAGCATACACTGTGGTTTCTGGAATGCAGGGATTCCATTGTTCACTCTGCAGAGCAGACCAGGTCCACATCCCACATGGTTTCCATAGTACTCCTTGCATGATTGCTGCAGTTCAAGAACTGACCCTCTCCCCGCCTCTGAACACTTGCATAACCCCCACACATACAAGCATATTCTTTCTTCTGCCAAGAATTTAAATCAAAATCAAATATGGTTTCAGCTGAGCTAGTTTGTAGCAGCCTTCTCAGAAAGTGTCTATTTTGGTTGCCTGCCAAGTTCCATTTTGTGTACTTATTCCTAATTAAATTGTGTTTTAACACATTCTAAAGATGATGCAAAGCTCTCCTATTTAGCTGCCTAGTTTGACTGGAGATGTGCAAATCAATAAACAAAATTTTATCTGTTTTTTGACATATCTAATTAAACGTTCATCTCTGCAACGCAGAGACCACTACTCCCATGTATACGTTCCAACTTTATACTAGCACTTTAATAAGCTAATAAATATATTTCTGAATGATTTTCTGGCATTAAAATCCAAGACTGGTGCCAAGTAGAACAAAAATCATGCAGGGGAATCCTGTACAAATTTGGCAGGATTTGGACAAAACCAACACCGGCATGTTCAGATTTTGGGGGACAAACCTCATGCTTCAGGAAATCAAATCATCAGACACAGGTGGTTAGGAAAGAATATTTTCTCCACAGAAGGTTTTTGAGTTGGTTTGTTTTTGGGTTTTTTTTAGCCAACTAGTTCAGCTATGCAGGAGTTTCTCTAGGAACATTGCTGAAGTACTACTAAAATAGGCTGCTGGTGCTAATAAATGTTGAGCCCATCAGTAATCGTTGGATGTTGACAAAATGTTGTATGGATTTCTATTTTTCCCTTCACTGAACTTCTTGAGAGACAACAATTAGTTTCAAAATATCTGGACCACTAGCTGCAAGGCAAATCAGTTCCAGTTGACTTTTACCAGCCTTTATTCTTATTGCTTTTGGTTTAGCCTAAACCTGAATGTTTGCTTTAGCCTGAACTCAGATGACATCTTCAGAGAACGAAAAAACCCAGTGAATTGCAGCAGGCCATTAGGTAAAGAACACTGACATCATCCCATACCTGAGAAAAAGAAAATTTAACCCTCAGTCATTCTGCACAATAGGGGAAAGTCTGCTCTCCCTGCAAAGTTCTTCTACTAACTATATATTTTCCAGAAAACAAACTTGAATAGAGATCAGTAGGGTATTAACCCTTCTGAACGGACTGCCTTGCTCCAAGAACATAGTGAAGAGAAGAGCTGTTGCTCTTGTGTTATCCATGGTTTATGACCAGCTCAGGTGGAACTTCCCTGCAGAAGACCTGCTGTGTGACCAGCAGCCAGCTAAGGGAAAGCATGAGCCAGAAGGTGCTGCAGAGGCTCATATTGTTAAGTTGTTCCAACACCACTCAGCTACAGAGCCACAGCGCAAACTCTACCCTAATACGGGCCTGTGAAATCCCTGAGGAGCTGGAGTCCTCTCCTACCTGCCCTAGGCCACCCGATGAATTTGGCATGTGGCTCACAGGGACAGGAAATCTTTTGCCTTGGGATGGAAAATACACAAGGACGTCAAACTGAGGCAACTTATCTTGGTGAGAAAAGCAATAACTCTTCGCCCAAAGTAGTCTGGATCCTTATACAAGCAAATACTGAAAAAAAATAAATCTAATTCAGGTCTTTCCAGAAATTACCCCCTACCTCAGATTCTCCACTGCAGTCCTTTAGACGAAGACACCCGAACAATTACCATGAGTAGTTTATTCCTTTTAAAAGCCGAAGCTTTGACTCCTGTAAGATTCTGGGCAATCGCATCCACATTTTTGAGCATAAAATTATGGCACCATTAAAAGTTCCCTAAATTCAAGGTCCAGTCTTTAGACTTGCTCTTATTTCTCTGCCTTCTTCTTTCATATCACATCTCTTGGAAAATGAGAGGTATGTTTAAAGATTAAAATAAAAAACTTGATACTACAGCAAGACTTATTCTCAAAATCTAGATGTGCCTATCAATTCTGTTGGTTTTGTTTTGTTTTACCTTCTCCTACTTTAATATAGATGTTTCTTGATATTTTGAGTTCAGTGAAAGATGTTACTGCTCCAAATTCCTTCTGGGCCCACTGTAGCAGATGTTCATTTTTCTCAGGAAAAAGCTTTTCTTCCGTTTCTGCTGACAAGGAGAAATTTCCCTTCTCAAACTGAACAACGGAACCTAAAGACACCTGATGGGAATAGAAACATATTTTTAATGTGGTACACTTATCAGCACAGACAGGTAGCATGTTTAACCAATGTAATCTGTCACATCCAAATGCATTCACTGAAGATGATTACGGCTTATTTCCAACAATGCCTAAACTTCACGTTTTAACATCTGCATAATGATTCCTTTTTCTGAGACGTTTTTAAAAAATGAAGCACTCATCAGCCCAGCCGGGGTGCACGTGGCAGCTGACTAGCGGGCTCTGAGCCACCCTCCAAAGCTGCACTGCTGTCGAAGTGGTACGACAGTGCTGCAAGGGGAGCTGAACTGTGGGGCCGAGGGGAGGAATGGAAGACGAGGAAAACTAAGACAGGAGAGAGTAAGAAGAAGATGGTCCGAGGAACTGAAGGGAGAGAAGGATGTGAAGCTCTATAAAACTAGGAACTACTGAAGTAACTCTCAAATCAGAAAGAACATGAGTCCAAGCCCAGTGACACATAAAGGCCAACAGAGAAACACAGAGTAAGGAAAGAGAAAGGCTCAGAGAAAGGGAAGATATTTATGGTTGCTTTATTTCCAAGAAGCAAGGAAGTGCTTCAGTCTAACACATAAAGCAGACGAGTTATACATCTTTAGAAAAATCCTTATGAACACGATGCATTAGCTCAGGTCTTGACTGGAAAACGAAAATGTTGTTTAAAATAGTCAAAATGGAAAAACAGTAAGTAGAAGTGTAACGGGTTCTGTGGGAAAGTCTAAGATTTTCAAATACCACTTCATTGGAGTGGCAAAAGCATCATTCAAGAAAAGAAGGCGGCACAGGATCAGACCCTCTTCCAGATTGGGACCAGCTTTAACTTGTGTTGGTCTTGAGAGATAAATAAGTCATTCCAGATTTACTGCAAAGCAAGATCATCCCAATGGCAACCTTTTGGCTCTCCTGTCCCTGCAGAGGGATGTGGTTAACACTTCCAGAACATTCATCATCTCTCAAGAGGCCCCTACAGCAAGTGGTGAAAGAAGAGCATTCCCTCATCTGCCCAACACTTCACTGTCTCTTCCTTCGAGGTACTTGAGGACTGGGGCCTGCATGCCCTACCCAAGCTGGTCCTTCCATGAACGCTTTCACTAAGATCTAAAACATCAAATCAAGAATAACATGTGCTTGAGTGAGAAAGCACAGTAAGACAAACAAGCTTTCAGGTTTGAATGCATCAGTGAAGGTTTCTTTGGACACATTTCCTGTAGTAGTGTGTAAGCAGTGCTTGCTCAGATACAACACACAGCACCTACTTCCAGACTGCTGCAGTAGACAAGGCTTCAGGAAAGAAGGACCATTTTTTTGTGCTGTTCCCAGAGCAGCCCGGGCAGAAGCCTGAGTCACTCTGTGGCTCTCCTCCTCCTTCCCTTTCCCTGTCTTTCTACTAACCTAGATTTCTTTAATGGAACAAAAGGTTTTTTTGTCGGGTTTTTTTTTTTTTTCTCCACTGGAAAATCCAAAACTACTAATGATGATGATCAGAAGAGTGAAAAACACATCATTACAATTTCTAACTTGTCTTGAATATTATTTACATGCTGTAGCAGGATAATGGTCATAAGTATCTCTCTAACCTTTTAAACAACAAAATATATCAATACCAATTATTTAACAGAGATTACCTGAAGTCAGGTTCCAATCACAGAAATTAACAAACAGCAACCATTACCTTTCCTGGAGCTACTGTTCCCAGTACTATTTCAGGATGTTATATATCCCTTTGTTTAGCACCTACAAATATTTGCCAAAAGTAGACACATAAATCACATCCTTTGGCACGTGAAAAGAATTTCAAAAGTTCTTCCATGTGCCTCCAGCTATTATGTGAGCATTTATTACGCACATATCACATACTGTCCTCCAAGAGAATGCCCATGTAATTCAGAGTTCAATTCGACCAGACCTGTCACAAAAAAGCACCTTAGGAACCCTTTTGCCAGAAGTTTTCAAAGTTTAAACATCTGTTTCAGTTCTGAATAATCTTCCTTATTTGTTGTTTTTCATATGACTACTGTGAAACATTTTCTTTAAATGAAAAAAGTCTTTATTCAGTGTAACACAATACACCATATTCTCTCAATACTCTCATACTTCTCAAATTAGAAAGCAAACTGTCATTAGAGAAAATCCACCACCCCCAAATCTACAATGCTAGGAAAAGAGAGCACCACAGCGTAGTGATTTTCTTTAAAATGTATTTAGCAAATAGCATTCACTTCAGACTTCTACCACTTAGAAGCAGCTACATCATAGATGGATTTTATAGGACATCTTTACAATGCTCCTAACACATCAAATTTTATAATTCGCACTGTTTTATAGGATGATGCTGACATAGCACAAAACAAGTCATGCAGGGATCGCATACGGAGCACCTCTTAGCAATCCTGTCTTTTATATCTCAGACGCATGGGACATCTTTGCAGAGCTCTGGCCAAAGTAGAAAAGTCTCCTGTGCATAAAAATTGCAAGATTTAGGGACTTAACCAGTGATTGTTTTGCAGGGATATTGAATAGATGTTGGTGTTCCACTCTGAGGAACAAACCTCCTTAACTACCTCAAAAACGCTACAGTTTATCCATTAAGTACAGTAAGTGCTTCTCATTTCACAATGTTTCTGGTGTTTTTTATGGTCAGTATCAGAGCAAAGAAATATCTGTGTAACCTTTTAAGACATCTGAGGAACTGAGAAAGTGAGAGAAAATACTATTCCTTCTAAATACTGACCAAAGAAATGCATTAGTTTGCAATAACACATTTTCATTGCATTTTTCATTTGTAATTAGAAATATTTAAATGTCTGCTAACGCAGAATCAATGAACCCCTAAGTTACTGAGTTACTCAAAGTTACTGAGTCCTACTAGGGAGGAACCAACAGACAGAAAGCAGAACAACTAAAGTGCCTGGTGCAAGCATCCTCACTAAACGATCATACAGTAAACATCTTTAAATAAACATGAAGCTTACAATCATTTATATTTTTAATCACACACTAAAGTCTATTTGAAATGCTGGTTCCACTACCAGGTTTTAGAAAGGACTGCAGAGTTCTGCTGTGCCTGCCAATGTTGGGATTTTTACTACATGGACCTAAGGCAAAGTTAAGTGAGCCAAGCACGTTATTTTTTCTGGAAAGAATTCAGACTCTTCCAAAAAAGGCAACCATCACTGTTTCAACACCTGCTTTGAACATTAACTGCTTACTCTTCAGGACAAACCAAAAGCAGCTCTTTCTAACGTACTTAGGATAAGACAGAGCATTAAAAACAAAGAATGTTTTAAATATTTGGGAATATATCAACAATTCTTATCTGGGCACTCATTACACAGCCGACTGGGTGATTAAGAAACTGCTGCCACATACACTTTTATCTCCTCACTTCATCTCCTTCAGTGGTTACTTTCAGAGGCTGCAGAGTGGAAAAAGTGCCCTAGCTCTATTTCTTCCTGTTGTTGTGAGGACATTTGAAGTGACTGCACCAGAAACATCCTCTGCTGATGAGTTCACCTACGTGCCCTGTCACATTTCTGAGGCTAAATAAGGAACTTCCAAGCCTGATGTGGAAAACCAGTTTGCAAGACCAAAAGATACTGGCCGTGGCCACTAACCACAGCAAGGACCGTGGTTCAAAGGGCTCTTCTGCAGTCAGAGGAAATGAGGATCAAGTACAGTATTTTGCTACCAAAACCTGAGTCAAAGAACAAAACATGTTTAGGAACATATTTTGACAACACACACTACGACCCTGCTGACCATTGGGGTAGACAGGGACTGTGATTGAGGAAAGGAAACATATACCTCTCATGCTGGGAAAAAAAAACAAAGGCCTTTATATGTCCCTTAAGAAAACTTTCCAGTCTTAAAAAAACTGCCCTTGCAAGGCTGCCATGGTAGTTTGGACATCAGCTGCATGGCAGAAGCGCCAAATGCGTAAGTTACTATTCTTCAGAAGGAACTACTCTTCAGAATCAACCAAGTCATCTCAAATATATACACTGGCAAGCGTGAACACTGCGCACTCTCCAAATAGCATCTTCTGTTTCCTATTTTACCTATTTCCTTCTGTCCTTTTAAATGTTTATTGCTTTTTTTTTTTTCTTTTAACCTGATCCAGGAGGGATATTTACTTTGTTTGCTTAATGATGTTTTAAGTATATAACATAGTTATAATTCAGAACTCCCAAGTAGGAAGCAAGCTTATAATTTAGCCTTGAGAGAGGGGTAGGCACCTTTGGGAAATGACTCAGAATACAAAGTTAAGTGTCCACAGCTACACAGCATGAAATAATCCCTCCCCTCACAGGAACAGCTACAGCTACACCACTACCCACCAAGGCCCCTTCAGCACAAGTGACCAAAGCCACCCATAAAGCCAAGATTGAGGCAAATATACCAATAGAAGAAAAGCATCCTCCTCCACATTTTTATCTGAGCTATACAGTATCAGACCTGTGGTGGAACATGTAGGAGGGGAGTAAAACTGCTCAGAATAAAATTTAAAAACTTGAACCAACTTTCAGAGCAGCCCACATGGGGTTCAGACTCAGCTGGTGGTTTTTGGACCCCTTACAGAGGAAAAGTAAAGCCATGGATGGAAAACTATCAGGTATTCGGAAACTCAAAAAATAGATCCTGATTGTTCATAAATCCACATACAACATACAGTAATCACCAAGAGAACAATTGTCTTTGGTAAGTGACTAAGAAACATGATGCTTTTGAAATGACATGCAACATTTGTGAATCATCTACCAGCTTTGCGTAGTCATTACCAGCCACAGATGAATGATGCTTTCAGGCAGTAGAAAAATTTTTCATTTTCTATTTAGTGTTCTCAAGATCACGTACAGTCATCACAAAATTCCACTTCCAGGTTTCACATTTTTGAAAACAAACACGTAAAAGAAACAGCATTATCTTAATTACATTTCAGATTTTAATTCTGCTTCCTAGGAGATCCTCAGTTTGTCAACCAC